TCTGAAGCCAATTCAATGCAGATACTTCAAGCTGCAGGAACACTCTATTTATTAGGTCAATATTTCATTTGAGCAATACAGTTACAGAATATCACAATGCTGGTTACAAACAGAGTATGGTTCCACGGGTACAGACCGTGTTGGGCACTGCAGGCTGGGGAAGGAGGAGAGGAAACCTTCGTCCTGACACGACAAGGAGAAGTCTGCAGAGTCTACTCATGGTCAAGATACCTTTATATAAATGAAGGTGGCACTACAGGTAGAGATTCTGGTTTTAGAGGTGTGTTCGTGTTAAGTAGTTCCATTTATACAGTTATACAGTTCAAGCAACATCTTTTTTTTTTTTTTTCCTTTTTTCCCCCCCCTCCTCTTTTAAAATGCTATTAAATTAAAATCCCCTGTAGGTCAATAAAGTATAAAAATAGTACTGAACCTGGTAATATTCAATAAAATGTAGAGTTCATTCACATCATTAAGTAGTAAAGAAATTGTAAAGTTGTAGTTACCATGGCAACATTGCTTCCCAGAAAGGAATATACAGCAAAGAGAAGTTACACATATGGTACCTGCGACGATTACTTAGCGATCCAACACCGAAACTTGTGCACCACAGACCGAGTTTCTAAATAGCTCTATGTATTTATATAGTATATATCTTTTTCATCTTAAAATTTACTTCTGAAAAGAAGAAGAAAAAAAAAAAAAAGAAATGTGCACTTCAACGAACTCACTAAGGCCACTCATGCTATAGATACCGAGGATTGCAGGGAGGAGTGTTATACGAGACCCTAGAGCACACACACCTTTCCATCACACAGGGACACCTGTGTCACTGCCCAAAACGTTCCTGAGATTTAGGGATAAAAAGCATTCCCAGTGCTGCCAATTCTTGGTTTATAGGTACTGTAGTTTGTTTCTAGGTAAAGGACATTTCTCCCCCACTTCACCTCATACAAGGAGCCCCAGGCCAGGCAGGGCACACTCCACAACACACAGGCAGCTTTGCAACAGCACTTGGGCAGGAATTTGCTTAGAAAACAAGGGAAAAGAGGGAAACAACGACGTTTAGATACAACCAGGTTCTGCACAGGCAGCAGAGAGAAGCAGCTCTGTGTGAGGATGGGGAAGAGCAACCCCTGCCCCACACTGCCTGTGCCAGCAGGTCCTCATAGCACCCACAGCAGCCAAGGGAAGGCTCTGCCAGCACCTTCCACCCTGTCTGAGGCACGAGGGGTTTGTCTTTTTGGACTCTACCCCACGTCGGACTAGAGAAAGGAACAGAAATCCCTGTGCATTTTGTACCACGAAGCAGTGTGATGGCACCTCCAGCAGATCCCACCCTGCAGCACCTTTCAACAGGCTTTGTTTTCAAAGTTACCCAAAACAACTGTCCTAACGAGTCAGAATTTAACAAAACCCTTTCAAAATTCTTGAACAAAAACTGTGTACAAAGAAGAAAGGCCTAAACTAAAGGTCTGGCTACAGAGCAGGGAGAGCGTCCCACATTGAGGGTCACTCACTGGTTGGAATTAATCCTGTGCTACAGAAGTGACAAAACAACAGTTTGGGGCTAAAGAGTCACTGGTTGGTTTATTTCAAGCAGCTGAGGGATATATTTAATTCCAAAGACATTTCCCCTTCCTCTTTTGTCAGCTCTAAAATCTTGGTGCACTTTCCCCTTCCCTAACAGCCCCAGAGCAGTGGGGAAATGTGACATGACTTTCCTCCCTCCCTCCCTCCCAGCTGCAGTGGTCATGGAGAACAGGACTCACCAAATCACTGACCCCAACTACACTGTGCTGAAAGTAAAATACTGAGGGTTTAAGTCAAGCAGTAGTGAAAATAATTTACCTTAAGGTGACACTTGTCCTCACCACTCACACCCAGTGACTCTGGTGTGATTTATTTACTCACCTTCAAGAAGATGCATTTCACAGGATTTCCATTCCCAGGTCTCCCCTTGCACTGCCAGCACACCGAGCAGCCCCCAGGGAGCTGCTGGGGGAGTGTTGTGCATCTGTAAGTGCCAAGAATTAGCTCACTGCATCGAGTGTTTCAGCAGTGGCTCCTCAAGTCATGGGGGCACGAGCTCCACAGCACACCAGGTCCAGCCCAGGCCTCACCCAGCTGTGCATGGAACACTGCTCTGGGCTGTGGCAGGAGGGGATGTCCCAGCTCTGTCTCTGGGGGGAGAGGAGCTGCAGGGCACTGCAAACTCCACAGGATGGAGAATATGGGGACTGCACCCTCAGCTCTGCCCAGAGCAGTCATGCTACAAGATAACCCCAACCACACTAGCACAGAGGGATGAAGACTTCACTTGCTCTGGTGTCATCCCATGGGGCTCAGACTGCCTCAAAAGCATCAAACAAACTGTACCAGCAGAGACAGCAACAGAAGTAACCACTGACTGCACAAATGAGCTCCAGGTGCCAACACACACACACACCTTCCACTCCTCAGAGCCAAAACCTCTCCAGGTGAGCTGCAAGGCCAGTGTGAGGAGCAGGTTCCAGCCCTGGCACACAGCAGAGCTCTCAGGCAGCTGCAAGGTCATCCTGCCAAGCTCCCGCGTCGGCCGTCGGTCACAGCCACCTCTGCCCCACACTGCACCTGCCCTGGAGCTGCAGGGATGCTACAACAAGTTCAGAGAGTCAAGATTTACTGCAGTCACATGAAGAGTGTGGCAGACACCTCAAGGATCACCAGCTGCTCTCGGCCAAGTCACATTCCTTGGCCCACGTGCTCTACCAAAGAGAATTCTCAGTGAGTTTTAGGACCTTAATTCCTTCCAGACAAGCCAATGCACCAAGTATACAACATGCTGAAGTAGCTTTAGAAGGTCAAAAAGTAAGAACACCCAGCTCAGAGGCTAAAGCCACCAATGAAACAAGCTGACCAGATGCATTTGGTGATGGGATGAAGCACAGCACACTAGAAGTTCCCCTGTCTGCCCTGACCTGAAGGCAAACCATGAACAAGGACACAAACCAGGGCTGAAACAAGAGCAGTGGTTCATGCAGGTCATAACTGCTGCCAGTCATATAACACTCCTCACCCCAGACACAGCACCTCGAGACCTCTGAGATTCCTTAGCCAAAAGGTGGGAATGGAGAGCCAAACTTGGAACAACCCAAGAAGATAAACCATCTCCAGACAATGTCTGTAAATCCATGTGGCCCAGCTGGAAGCTTTACACATTTCTGCAGCACAGAAATCACTCAGCTTCGTTAGGGCAACTTGAAGCCACGTCCCTGCCCAAGTTCTGCCACAGTATTACACTTTGTTTACGTTTGAACAGGACTTCAGAACTCCTAAGAACTTCACAACTCATCAGTGCCCTCTGCATGGACATTCAGGGAGAAAAAGGTTTTGCCTTGTAGATAGCTGAATTTGTCTGTCATTCCTACACAGTCATAAACAAAAGCTGCTATAAATAAGGTCTTAAATCCACCCATAATTTTCAGTTGGATTTCCACTGAACAGCTGTTGAGGACACGCTGCAGTCCAAGTCCTAATACCACAGGGGGTTTATGCAAATACTTCTTTCCACATTGGTGAAGATATTCCAAGTATGCAATCCCTAATCTGCATCCACTAATTACATAACTGCATTTTAAAGTTGGTAGTTCTCAGCTTTTCCACCCAAATACACGTGAAGGCACCAGTATATGAACTATTGGCCTGGAAAATGGCAGTTCTTAACAGAGCCACTAAGCTCCAAGCCATGTCTGAAATCCTTATTCCTTCCCTGCAC